TATATACTATGTGTATACACACACACACACACACACACACACACACATACACTGAATATGCATACAAGCCAAGTCAGAAAGTCTATTTTATTTCTAAAGCGCTTTATACAATATAGATTGTTTCACAGCAGCTTCACAATAGTAATTCTGCTGTAAAGCAGCTCTAACAAGCCACTAGTGTCACTATACAGCTCAATTCAGTTCAGTATTGATTCAGTTCAGTTGCATAACTATAAAATTCATCAGTTGTACATACATACTGTATATACAGTGTATATGTGCATATGCATGTATGTGCGAGTGCTATGACCAACTCTTGTGCACTCCATTGCACTCTGAACAAGCAAAAGACACACAAGAGTAGTGTTTTACATTTTTCACATCTGTGTGTAGTTTGGCATGTATGTGGCTAATTATTTTATGTTTGTGTGTAGAGTTACTATGCAAAAATACCATTTTGCAATATATGTGTGACTTTTTTCATGTTGTGTGTGTGTTTTGTGGTTTTGTGTGTAGAGTTTTGAGAAATGGAGCCATAGTTTCAAAAACTGTGTAAGCATTTAAAAAAACTGTAATATCTGTCTAATTTCATGAGTTTCTACCAATTGGCAGATGACTTTGTGATGAAGTTTGATTGGACACATGACCTTAGGCATCTGTTATGTCCCAAAGTGTTTTTGTATTGGTCCACCAGGTGGTGTTCGTGATTTGGGTTTTCTCCAGAGCGAGCATTGTCAGGAACAGGTGTGAAGTGTTACCTGTGATTGCGCTTGGGTTAAAAGATGTTGTTTCAGGCCCTGTCTACAAGAACGCAGTTATTTTTAAACCAGCTTTTTCTATGCAGTTTGGCCGTTCGTCCACACGCAAACGCAGCACCAGGTCACTGAATCCGAACATTTTTGAAAACTCCTGCCAGGGTGAAGATTTTCAAAAACTCTGGTTGCAGTGTTGTCGTGTAGACAGCGAAACCAGAGTTTTTGGCTTTTGACTAGGGATGGGGAGTCGACTCCAAAAGAGTCGATTCCTCTACTCTGAACAGCCCTAGAGTCGGAGCACTAGAATCGACTCTCGGTGTCGACTCCGAATTTGACTTTCACATTACACAGACTGTTGCATGTCACTCTGGACTACATTTCCCATCATCCATTGCACTGATTGCACACAGCTGTAACCAATCACACACATACTATATCAGTGGGTCCCAACCCTGGTCCTGGAGGCACCCCAACACTGCACGTTTTGCATGTCTACACCCACTCAGATCCTTCTCAAACTGCCTAGTATTGTTTAGCGCAGTGCTTCCCAAACCTGTCCTGCAGGCCCCCCTGCCCTGCACCTTTTGTATGTCTCCCTTATCTAACACACCTGATTCCACTCATCAGCTCGTTAGTAGAGACTGCAAGAACTAAATAGGGTGTGTCTGATTAGGGAGACTACAAAATGTGCAAGGCAGGGGGTCCTCCAGGACAGGTTTCGGAACCACTGGTTTAGCGTATATCCCTCTCCTAGAGATAGCTACTTTACGGAGCCAGTTCTCTGCCTTAGTTCCTACTTCTAGTCATAGTCTTGCCTTGCCTGTTTTACCGTGTTCTGATTCTAGCCTGTGTATCTCATTTCTGTATGATCTCTGCCTGCCCTTAAAGCTGCAGTCCGTAACTTTTGGCGCTCTAGCAGTTAATAAATAGAACTGCGTGCATCTTGCGGAAGAACATTGTAGCCGGAGCTATTTCTCTCTGTTTATGTCTATGGCGAATCACGCAGGTACTGGGCTACTCCGCAGAGGTACCTACCCAAACCAGTCTAAATAGTCAGAATATAAACACTTATTATAAGTGTACTCTTCCTATTTCATCCTCTTCTTCAGTACAGTAAGCTTGCTAATACCTCTCTGTTATTCAATGGTCTGTTCAAAAAACCGATCGCATTTATGTTAATTACCATTTGTATTCATTGGCTCAGAAGATCAGATCGGCTCCATTAGTTTTGTAAATTTTGAACACAAAAAAAGTTACGGACTGCAGCTTTAAATAAAATTACATAAATATCAGTTGTCACTTTATATCTGCCAATAATATGTATTTGTAGGATGATATTTAAATGCTTAGTTTTATGATCAAAACATATAATGCAATGCATAATTGAAAAATTAACAAATGTTCCTCAAAAGCCTGATGATCATATTTGATACTGATTCTTCTAAAAAATGTCTTGATAATGAAGTAAAGCTAAGTGTTCATCTTGAAATATTACTAATAATATCAAATTTATTATGTTTATTTTACAAAAATCAGTTAAGATTTCATTGCAAAAAGTGAAGTACAAGCTGAAGGTAGACATTTGTACAATTATACTAAAAGATATCTTACTTGCTAAAAAAGTATAAACTATCAATCAGACAACAGAAGGCATGTAGCAGATTGTGTGTGAAAGGTTTATCAGCAAAGTTTTGATCATGTTGATCATTTGGAGGCCTTGGAGGAGAAATTCATGTATCAGATATGATACAGTAGCGTTATAGGTTTAATGTTTTTGACAAAAATTGTAACTTTAGTGTGTGTGTTTTATAATTAAATATATACTCAAAAGCCCATTTAAGCACAAATGCCAGTTGGTTTGATATTTTGTATCTAATGCAGTGAAATTTAATTTTGACTTGCTTATAAGTCTCTCTGTTTTCCCACATCAGGCTCAGCATTAGGCAAAAGTGCGATGACACCCATCCCACTGCCTCCTCCACAGATGGCAGCCATGCCCGGTAACATGCCTCCTCCCAGCATTCATGGTAACGGCAGTGCTCATGGGACCAACCAAATGCTGGACTATCTGGAGAGTCAGATGCGCGGCATGGACGTCACCAGCCCGCTGTTACAGCCACAGCCTGCCATCCCATTGCAGCACATGCCTCCTCCTCCCCAACACATGCCGCAGCATGTGCCCTTCTCTGCCGGCCCTCCCAGCATGCTCTCCGGCCTGGACAACGGTCCCACCTCACGCAGGGTACTGCCCGGCTCACGAGGAGGACGCCTGCAAGCCTACTCCAGCGGCTCATCCACTTATGGCGCCTCCCACCGCAACGACCGCTTCTATCATCGTCCAGCCATCCCGCGCAGCTACAGTCAGGAAGATGTGCTGGACACCCGGAGCCAGTCCAGAGCACACCATCCTCGCTCGCGTTCCAGGGATGATCTGCTGGCCGACGACCGCCGGGGCCCGTCCAGACGAGACGATTATTCTCCTTTGCCCCGCCGCGGTTCGTTGAGCTCAGCTAATGACGAGGACAGCAGACTCGGAGGCACTCGAGGAGGTCGGGGAGGCGGCTGGTCCAATCATCCCAAGTAGGTATAACTGCAGACCGGAGATCTCCAAAATGGGGCGTGAACTCCAAAAGTCGGCAGAACCTCCAAAATGGGGCGGGGTCTCCTCTCGTAAAGACTTTCACCATTGGCTCTGGCTCCAGCCAATTGTTATTGACTTACATTTAAAAATAAAACTTTATAAATGAAACATTGTTTCTAGTTGATCTAAAATAAAATATGCTATATAAGTAAATATTCTCCGTGAGAGCAGAGCCCAAAGCTCGTGGCCAGTGCTGTTCGGACTGGAGTTTGAACCTCTGCTTAATGATATAACCGGGAATCACCCACGAGCTCTCCCGCCAGCCATCCCAGCGCAGCGCAGGGGAAAGATTGTGCTCTATCGCTTTGTTCTAAGCAGCGGGGGCGTCCCGGGGCTCGAAATTCGCAGAGTAGGAGGGGGTAGTGATGCTGGGTGTAACTAAAAAGGTGCCACTGTCCGGTGAGGTCCGGTTGGGGAGTTACGGAACGATCTCATATCGCATAATCTTATTAACTGTTTATCTCCTGAACTGCAACTTTCTTTACCATGCTATTCAGCGCCAATCCCGCAGTGCAGTCAATTTCACTGGTTAAGGTTAGGGTCAGGTGTGGGGTAGGTTTAGGGGTTAGCATTTTTTATAGCATAGTGTAGGAAATCAACACTTTAATTGACACAGCCAATAAAATCTTTAGAATCAGCTGTGGGGCAGAGTTTGCACTGAAGTGGATTGGGGGGAAAAGTGCGCATGCGTGTCATGTGCCTGTCTGTCAATGGGAGGAAGCCACGCCCTATTTTGGAGCTCCCACCCCGTTTTGGAGTTCCCGCCCCCATTTGGAAATCTCGAGGCTGCAGTTATACCTTCTCAATCATCCACCCAGTTACACTGAGCACGGAGCCCGGAAAGAAGCCGATGAAGCGGCCTTAACGGTTCTCTGTAAGAGTTGCTGTTTAGTTGTTTGTTTGAGCATTGAACGCCACCCGGTGTCTGTCTGAATGCGCTCATCCATTCACACAATTTTTTCTTTTTAATGTTGGTAATCTCATCTGATCACACCATTAAACTAAAATGTTGGACGTTCTGGTGCCATGATTAGAGTAGGGTTGCAAAGGGATGGAAAATTTCCGGTAAATTTCTAGAAACTTTACAAAAATCCCTGGAATATTCCAAAAAAAATCCTGGAAAGTTTCCAAAATTTCTGGAATGTTTCCGAAATTTACTGGAAATTTTCCACCTTTTTGCAACCCTAGATTAGATATACACTACCGGTCAAAAGTTTGGGATCAGAACGATTTTTAAATTTTTTTACAGGTGTTTCTTATGCTCATCAAGGCAGCATTTATTTGATAAAAAATACAGGAAAAAATTTAATATTGTGAAATATTATTATGAGGTAAAATAAAGTTTTTCTATTTTAATATACATTAAAATCTCATTTATTTCTGTGATGCAAAGCTGAATTTTCAGCATCATTACTCCAGTCTTCAGTGTCACATGATCCTTCAGAAATCATTCTAATATGCTGATTTATTATCAGTGCTGGAAACTGTTGTGCTGCTTAATATTTTTTTGGAACCTGTGATACTTTTTTTCAGGATTCTTTGATGAATAAAAAGTTAAAAAGAAGAGCATTTATTTAATAGAAATCTTTTCTAACAATATACACTACAGTTCAAAGGTTTGGGGTCAGTAAATTTTTAGTAAAACTTTTAATCAGCAAGGATGTGTTTAATTGTTAAGAAGTGATAGCAATTCTTTTTTTAGAATTTATATTTATAGACAGTATTATTTATATTGTTAGAAAATATTTATATTCTGTTCTTTTTAACTTTTTATTCATCAAAGTATCCTGAAAAAAATATTGCAGATTCCAAAAAAATATTTGGCAGCACAACTGTTGCCAACATTGATCATTCTAATAATAAATCAGCATATTAGAAT